GCACATATGCATCCCATCAGCCCCAACAATAATTCATACCTACAATGGCATGACCACTTCTGTGGTCACACACCTACAATCAATTCATCACAGGTGCGATCGCACCAGACCAGCAGCAAAACAGAAATTCCTAAAGTCCATAACTCATTCTGATTCCAACCCGAATCACTCTTGAGGCCCCCGGGACCCCATCCAAACATACCAACACATCCCAAAACATCATACGAACTTAGTCGAGGCCTCAAATCACCTCAAACAGCATCAAAACACATGAATCACACCCCAATTCAAGCCTAATGAAACTAATGAATTTCCAAGTTTTACAATCGATGCCGAAACCTATAAAACCAACTCCGATTGACCTTAAATTTTGCACATAGTCAACTCTCGGCCAAACCTCTTAACTCTCCAAACTTTATCTTTTCCAACTTTCGCCAATTCAAGCCAAAGAATATAGCTTCAGTGAAGGTGCAATGGAGAGGTCAGCCGATCGAGGAGGCTACATAGGAGACCGAGTAGGAGATGCGAAGTAGCTATCCACACCTATCTTAGACTCCATGTATGATTCTAGACTCGTTTGAGGACGAACGATTGTTTAAGAGGGGGAGAATGTAATGACCTGGCCGGTTGTTTTGTGTATTGTAGCCATGTTCCCCTAATCATTGACTCTTCTATGTTTATTTGTGGCTCTTTGACTGGTCGGGGTGGTTGTTTTGGGTTCGGGGTGTCACGACCCAAACCGATGGGTCGCGACGGATGCTCGAGTCCTACCTGTCAAACACCCTTAAGAATACATCTAAGATATAAATATGAATAGTGTATGTGAGGGAAACCTACCCAAAAGACATATATAGATAGACATACGAAATACAGTGGGGCGAGCCGGCAAGGCTGCTATAGACAACTATATATACCCAAAACTGGAAGTCGACAAGGCCACATACTATACAACTATACATAACTGTACAGATCTCTAATAGAAAATACAACTGTACAATGACGGGACTGGGCCACATCATACCCATATATGTATACAAGCATATCATACCAAAATCAAAAGTAGCACCAGATCAAGTGGAGCACGCCAACTCTCGATGATCAGGGATCCTAAGAAGGTGGACCGTCGGCTTGCCTACCTGCACCTGCGGGCATGAAACACAGGCCCCGGGAATAGGGCATTAGTATGAATAATGTAATGAGTATGTAAGGTATAAAAATCAGTACATAACAGACATAGATGAAACATGGAATAAAGAATTCCGACTGTAAGTCTAAATCACTTTGTAAATCCTGAAACATTTATAATGTCATGCACGTGTGTATAAATGTCGTGTCATGCATAGGTATAGGTGTACATAATATCATCGAGCCTCTGAGGGCATCCCATCATATCATCTCGGCCATTGTGGGCAAAATCATCAACATATACCAACTGATCAGGTGGTGGTGTGTATATAACGCTGTAACCTTTTCCCATATCTCATATACATATATATATACATATAAATACGCGTATATAACGCCATTTGGTCATTGGTCAATACAACAACAACAACCCAGTAAAATCTCACTAATGGGGTCTGGAGAGGGTAGTGTGTACGCAGACCTCACCCCTACCCCAAAGGAGTAGGGAGGTTGTTTCCGAAAGACCCCCGGCTCAAAAAAACAAAAAGACAAAAGGACAAAATGGAGACAATATTAGTATCACAACAACAATCATAGGAAAAATAGGAACACCGTGAAATCCAGAAGAAAGATGCAAAGCAAAGGGAGACAATATTAGTAAATATTAGTATTACCATAACAATCATAAGAAAAATAGGAACACCATGAAATCTAGAAGAAAGATGCAAAGTAAAAGCAATAGCTAGTAAATAGGACATGCACTGAAAAGCGAAATAGTAAGACACAACATTGCCACTAGCTATCTTAGACGAAAACCCAACATGGCTAGTCCCACCATGGTACGAAGTAAGGCATGACTCAACTACCTCCTAACCTACAACCCTAATACTCGACCACCACATCTTCCTATCAAGTATCATGTCCTCGAAAATCTGGAGCCTCGCCATATCCTGCCTGATCACCTCTCCCTAATACTTCTTAGGCCGCACTCTACCTCTTCTCGTGCCCTCCACAACCAGCCGCTCACACCTCCGTACCGGAGCATCTGGGCTTCTCCTCTGAACATGTCCGAATCAGTTAAGCCTCGCTTCTCGCATCTTGTCATCAATGGGAGTCACATGCACCTTCTCCCGAATATCATCATTAATGTACATGTATAAATGAATAAAATGCATGAAAATATATTAATAATCTCAATATTCCTTTCGGATAAACTTCATTAACAGCGCATCATTCTGAGACCCATGAACAAAAGATATAATAATATGTCACATGGTGAATCAAGAACATAAAGACCCCTAGTATTTCTATGAATAGAGTCGTTTATGAAAACTGTGCGTTTACTCGTTTCTTTTTTATATCATTTGGATTATGCCAAAAAGAAAAAAGGGATAGCCTTAACATACCTGAGTCGATTCTGTTGAGAAAGATTACACTGTATTCCCTTAATATTGAAAAATCTCACAATAGCAACATAAATACAATGCCTACATTTGGAAAAAATTCTGCCGTCACTGTTCCAATGAAACAGTGATTCGATACTGTTCATCACGGAAAGCTGTGAGTTTGAGCTTCAATGGCCGCGATGGCCGGCGACCAGCCATCTTTTCTGGCTGGTCTGCCCTCCTCCAACATCGCCCAACCATAAACAACACCAACTATCAATCCACAAACTCTAGATTATGCAAAGATTTTGACACCCAACTCAACCAATCCTCCTGCGATGACTGCTGCCCAAGCATCAGTGCAGCCCATCGCCCAATTATCTACGACAACAAACAACAATCCCCAATCCATGGATTATTCAAAACTTTTAAAACCTAATGCCATTAATGCCGCTATGAAAACCTTCGCTACGCTACCATTGAAACCAGTTGAGTTCCTTCACGGAGAACCAGTTGTGAAGTGGAAGAAACAAGAAGTGATGCAATCTATTGTACAACAAGGACTTCTACTTGCAGTTCTTGGGAAATTTTCGTATGGGAAGCCTGTTATTAGTGAATTACGTAAAGTGATTCCAATTCAATATGAGATTAAAGGCCATTGTTTAGTTGGTTTAATTGATGATAAGCATGTGTTGATTAGGCTATATTTATTGGAGGACTATGTTCATCTTCTTTCAAAGCCAGCTTTTTATTTAAAAGCTTAGTCAGACATGTGGCAGATGCTTTGTACAAAATGGAATCCATGGTGGACACCTGATGAAGAGACTCCCATTGCCATTGCTTGGATTAGCTTTCCAGAACTGCCTCCTAATTTCTTTGGGAAGGAATGTGTATTTTCCTTTGCTCGTGCAGTTGGTAATCCATTACATGTAGACCTAGCCACTCAAAATGGGACTAGACCTAGTTGTGCTAAGGTGAAGGTGGAAGTTAACTTGTTAAGTAAGTTCCCTCATCGTATTAAGATTGTGGAAGAAGCTGATGAATCTGGACCAGAAGAGTTCAAGTGGATCAGGATTAAGTATGATTATATGCCAAAATATTGCAAACCTTGCAAAAAACAGGGGCATAGTGAGGTAGAATGATGGGTAATTCATCCTGAATTACACAAGAGATTTGAAGAAGGTGTTGAGGAACAAAGCAAGGAGAAGGCAGTTATGGTGAGTTCTGATGCAATTGGGACTGCTGCAAATTCAACAAAGGTCCTAACTAGTGGAAAGGTGGTTGGTAAGCCTACTACTAATCATGCCAAGCAGGAATGGATGCAAGCAAGTAAGAACAAATACCAACGAGATAATGGGAGTCACATTGTTGATAACAAATAAGGAAAGGAAGCTGACAAGGGTAAAGGGAAGGCCAAAGTTGAGGAAGTTGCAACCAAGAACAAGTTTAATTCACTAGAGGTTGAGGAAGTTCATCAGCCTAGTCTACAAATTACTGAAGGCAAAGGTGAGGATCATAGAAATGGTAAGAAGAAGGAACATGGGGAAAAGCAAGCTAAGAAGGGCCAGGAGAAGGAAAAGAAAGTCAATACTAAACAGGAACATAAGCATGTGAAGAAGGAAGCAGTTGAGAAGGTGGTGGAAAATGAGCATAATGGTAACCCTATTCCTTCTGGGATTCAGTCTTCAGCTCCTAAAGATGATCAAGAATTAGCTAAGGCTAATTCTAGTGTTGCTAGTGATCAACGTACTGATGAAAGGGCTAATAAGGAATCCACAATCAACTGGGTTCATAAAAGGTTTGGGACTAGCAATGAGGAGCTAAAACAACTCAATGTGACCATAAACCAATCTTGTCATGTGATTCCATCTCAAACATTTAAAGATTCTGGGCAGATTGAGGATCTTGATGAGGTAAACTCTACAAAGGTCTTATGGAGTGATGCAACTGAGGTTAAGGATGATCAGTTAGGCACAACAAAGACAACAGAAGTCAAGGTGAAGAAGGATAACAAGCCAAGCTCACTTGGCGATAGGTTGGCGATGCCAGGCCTAAAGCCAGGCTCCTCAGGCGTTAGGGTGGCAACGCCAGGCCTAAAGCCAGGTTCACCTGATGAGGCAGCTATAGTAAACCCCAACCTTAGTCCAACTGGAGAGATATTGGCCTATGTAGATGGTATTCCAGTATATGGATTGGAGAACAAACTTGATGGAGATGTTAATGTGAAGATTAGGGATGATATAGTGGGTTCAGACCAAATTTCAGGCAATGGTAAGGGTGGTGATCTCACTAGAACAGGAGGGATCCACCACAAATTTCAGGCAAAGATCCACCACAACCTTCAAGAATAATATCCAGGAGGGTAGCTTCTCTATCTAAATGATGATGATCAAAACATTAATATGGAACATAAGGTCTGTGAATACACAACAGGCCTTTCCTAGGGTGATCAACATGAATAGGGAGCATAAGTTTTGTGTAGTTGCATTAATGGAGCCTTTTCAAAAGAAGGGACTCATTGATAGACATAGAAGGAGGTTGAATATGGAGACTGCTTATGCAAATATTAATGGGCAAATATGTTTGTTCTTCGATGCAGTGGTTGAATGGGAATTAGTGGAGGATACTGAGCAACAGGTGATTGTGAGAGTGTTTCACCATGACCTAGTGCAGCACATGATGATGACATTTTTTAATGCAAAATGTTCAACAATGGAGAGGTTGGAATTGTGGGATCACTTCTATTACTTAGCAAGTGATATGGAATTACCATGGTTGTTAGGAGGGGATTTCAATGTGGTATTGCATGAAGATGAGAAAATAGGGGGACTTCCAGTACACCCTCCTGAATATGAGGATTTTGCATTTTATGTAAACTCTTGTGGTTTATTTGAGCAAGGGTATAAAGGAAGTCCATTTACATGGTGGAATGGGAGATCCAATGCTGAGTGTATATTGAAGAGATTGGATAGGATTTTTGTGAATTTGCCATTTCAGAACATGTTTCAAACCATTGAAGTTGAGCATCTAATCAGAACTGGATCATATCATGCACCATTGCTAATGACATGTGGGGTGCAGACAACCAATTTTGTCAAGCCTTTCAGGTTCTTGAACTTTTGGACAAAGCAAGCTACATTTATGGATGTGGTGAGGCAGAATTGGGAAGCTGATTTCATAGGGAATCTGTTTTTGATGTTCAAGCAGAATATCAAGAGGGTGAAGGCAACACTTTCAAAATGGAGTAGGGAAACATTTGGTGATACCTTCAAGCAATTGGTTATTTTGGAGGACATTGTTAGGGTGAAGGAGATGTTGTTTGAAGAAGAGCCTACAACTGAGAATAGGATTGTGCTTCAAAAGGCTCAATCTAAATTGAAGAAATACTTGAGTATTGAAGAGCAGTATTGGAAGCAAAAAGCTGGGATAATTTGGTTTGCTGAATGAGATAGAATACAAGTTTCTTTCATAATTATGTCAATGGAAAAAGAAAGAAATTGCGACTGAAGAGGATCAAAACTGGCAGTGGGGTATGGATTGAAGACCAGGAGCAATTGGCTACAACTTCAATAGACTTCTATCAAAAACAGTTCACAAATGAAGGTGATGCTTTTGAATTTTCCTTGCTCAATAATGTACCTTCAATGATCACTATGGATCAGAATTCGGAACTTAGCAGATTGCCAAGAATTGAAGAAGTAAGGGCATCAGTTTTTGAGCATAATAGGGAGAATGCTAGTGGTTTTGATGGATTCACTAGCCTGTTTTATCAAACATGCTGGGATATTATTGGTGCTAATGTACACAACATGGTGCTACACTTCTATGGAGGAGCTGCATTGCCTAAATCCATCACTCACACCAATCTAGTGTTGCTGCCCAAGAAACCTAGAGTTGAGACTTTCTCTGACTTAAGACCTATTAGTTTGAGAAACTTCATTAACAAGGTCTTGTCTAGGGTGTTACATGATAGATTGGAGAGTTTTTTTGCCATCTCTAATATCTCCTAATCAATCCAGATTTGTAAAGGGTAGGAGTATATTTGAGAACATCTTATTGACTCAAGAAATTATCACTAACATAAGGTTAAGGGGAAAGCCAGCTAATGTGATGATCAAGCTTGATATGGCTAAGGCTTATGATAGGGTTTCATGGAAGTACTTATTGCATATGCTAAGGAAGATGGGATTTCCTGAGCACTTCATCAACATGGTGTGGAACTTGATGTCAAATAATTGGTATTCAGTATTGGTGAATGGGCAGTCCTCAGGGTTCTTTAAGTCTACAATGGGTGTGAAACAAGGAGATCCCCTATCTCCAGCATTGTTCATTCTGTCAGCTGAGGTACTTTCCAGGTCTTTGAATAAGCTCTTTGAAGATAAGTCATTTGTGGGATTTGGAATGCCTAAGTGGTCTGATCCTTTAAACCACTTGGCATATGCTGATGATACGATAATCTTTGCATCTGCTCATCCTCCTTCCTTGAGCAAGATTATGGAAGTGGTGGGGAACTATGAGAAGATATCAGGTCATATGATCAACAAAGATAAGAGTTCATACTACATGTATTCAAAGGTTGCTAATCAGGCAGTTGGAGCTATTACAGGATTTGCAAGAGGTAAATTCCCCTTCACATATCTAGGGTATCCTATTTTTTACACTAGAAGGAGGAAGGACTATTATAAGGATCTTATCAAGAAGGTGAAGGCTAAATTGCATTCATGGAAAGGAAAGCTGCTGTCATTTGGAGGAAAGGCAACACTCATCTCTAGTGTGTTGCAAAGTATGTCAGTTCACATGTTATCAGTCCTTGATCCACCAAAAAACATCCTGGAGCATCTACATAAGACTTTTTCTAGGTTCTTTTGGAGCACAAAGGAAGAAGGGAGAAGCAGACACTGGGCTTCATGGAAAAATCTTTGCCTTCCTAAAGAGGAAAGGGCCCTAGGTTTTAGGTACTTACATGATGTCTCAAGGGCACTGTTTGCTAAACTATGGTGGAGGTTTAGGACCACAAAATCTTTGTGGTCTAATTTCATATGGAATAAGTATTGCAAGAAGGAGCTACCAACAGTGGTGCATTTTAGAGGAGGGTCTCATGTTTGGAGACAAATACTGAATGCTAGGGAAGAAGTAGAACATGAGATCGTATGGGAATTAAAGAGTGGAACCACTAATATTTGGAATGAAAATTGGACTGGATTGGGTGCACTTTATCACGTATTACCTGAAGACTTTCCAATCAATGAAGATCTTCAAAAGGTGGTAGAACTGCGGCAATGGGAAGCATGGGATGATCAGCTGCTAGATCAAACTTTCAATGAGGAAATTGCAGAACATATAAGGCTAAATGTGCATTATGAAGGCAGTGGGGGATATTGGGATAGGCCATACTGGATGCCAACTCCTTCAGGCAAGTTCAGTGTTAGCAGTTCTTGGCAAATATTAAGGCATAGGGTTGATCTTAATCAGGAATTCAAGTTAATATGGATTAAAGGTTTGCCATTCAAGATATCCTTCTTCTTGTGGAGATTGTGGAGGCAGAAAATAGCCATTGATGACATGTGGAGAAAGCAGGGGCAAATGGTGATGTCTAGGTGTTGGTGTTGTCAGCAGCCCCAAGAGGAATCCATTGAGCATATATTTGTCACAAGTCCTACTGCCTCTAAGGTATGGAACTTGTTCATAGGGGCTGCTGGAATTACTATGCAATTGATTCAATTGAAGCAAATTATAAGGCATTGGTGGTATGCTCAGTGTTGTCCAAAATTAAAGCCACTATTTCAAGCAGTACCAGCTATCATCACTTGGGAGCTTTGGAAGAGAAGAAATGCAGGTAAACATGGGGGTTCAGTGTCCACAAATAGGGTGATTCATGAGATAAATAGGACATTGCATCAACTGGCAAGGGTGAGGTATGCTTGGATGCCTAATATTCCATTGTTATGGCCAGACATGATTCAATACTTTGAAGGATATAAACCTATATTGATCACTACAAGAGTAACATGGCAACTTCCTTTTCATGGTTAGTACAAATGTAATATTGATGGAGCCTCAAAGGGCAATCCTGGACCTACCTCCCTAGGCTTTTATATGAGGGATAATGAAGGTGATGCGGTGTATGCTAGGGTAGTAGACCTGGGAGTGACAACTAATGTGGTAGCTGAAGCTAAGGCTATTCTTCAAGGGTTGGAATACTGTATGGAGCATGATCTTCACCCTCTCATATTGGAGACTGATTCATTGGTGATGAAGAAGGTGATAGAAGGGGAATGGGATCCTCCTTGGGTAATTGCACAGGATGTGAAGAAAATTATAGAGATGAAGGACAACTTCAATGTGATCTTTCAACATGTGTTCAGAGAAGGCAACTCAGTGGCGGATTTTATAGCTAACATTGTGTTCTCTTTTGCAGGTACATCTGAGTTTCATTCATTATCTGAATTGCCTAGTGTAGGGAGGAGGTTGATCAATCTAGACAAATCTCAATCACCTAACCTTAGGGTTAGGATAGCAAAGAGAAGAACCCCAGACTGATGACTTCACAGGATTGGACTCTGCAAAACCTGCATGTTTCTTTGTCTCATTCAGTATGCTATTAAGGTACTTTCCAATGGTATTAGCATGGTCCTATGCTCATTCTGAGGGTGCTTTGATAGTGTACAGAAAAAATACGATAAGCAGGTGTGGGATTGTACAATTTATCCTACTTCTGATATGTCCAAATGCTAAGGAAAATGCTGAACCCATCATATGGTATTTCTGGAGATTGTTGAATCATTTCTCAGTGGTATTAGCATGCTTTGATGCTCAATCTGAGGATGGTTTAGCAATGTTTAGAATGATGTCTACATTAAAGGTTCTAGTAGGGAAGGATCTGAGTTACAAGGTCACAAAAGGAACAGTTTCAAAGCCTGGCCTTTGCCTTGCAAAGCCTGCTTAAAGCCAGCTCAATCCTGGCTTTTGCCTTGCAAAGCCGGCCTAAAGCCAGCTCATGCCTGGCTTTTGCCTTGTAAAGCCTGCCTAAAGCCAGCTCAAGCCTGGCTTTTGCCCTACAAAGCCTGCCTAAAGCCAGGCTCCTCTTCTACATAGTAATTTTGATGAGTGAGCACATGATTAATACTTGGACAAAATCGGTCCACTGCATATGGAGATCATATAGTAGCTACACTTGGAAGACTATGCTAGCTTCAACTCTGTGGTGGAGATGTTTGGAATTCATTTTAGCCTATAAATAGTATACCATGGTGCCTGGTGAGAGCATGATAGGTGCTGCTTGGTATTTGCCAATGACAATTGGATTCACATACACTGATAGGAGAAGGAAGCATTCAACTTATTATGTTGTAATAGCTAGTTCATTAGATTTTAGATTTTCTATCTTTTTAATAGCTAGTAGCTTCATGCAACTTCTATTTTGGTTGGGACATCTTGTAAGCTTTGGACCCATTTTGGGATTTTATTTATATATTAGCCACTAGGCAAGTGCTGCCGAGTGGTATAGTTGCTTAAAAAAAATACAACACCTACTAAGTGCTTCACCATGAGTAATTTGGTATTGGAGTAGGGAAAATATTATGATTTCTTCAATTCTGGTCTAACGTAAGTTCCTTATAGAAAGAACATTTAGCTTGAATCTCTTCAAAATTTTAAGAGACCAAAATGAAGCCAAAATAGTCTCAAATCTTAAAGTGATCTTGAATGGAATGTGGGCCCACTTCAAGTGGAGACTAACCACTTTAATCTTCAAAATATATGACATATTGCAAGACCTTTTAAGAATCATATTAATGTTGGGGGGGGGGGGGGGGTGCCACGTTTTTGGACCCTTAAGCTTATCCCTAAAGTCTTAATTATCTACTAATGATTTATTTAACTAATTAATCCCTCATTTAACCACTAATCAATCAATTACTCATATAATTAAGAATTATCTCAAATTACTTAAAATTCTACTTATTTTAATACACGTTATACATCGTATTATCACGGTCATATGGTACCTTGTATGGTATTAGTCCATAACTATCGGGTATTATAGCTCGGACCGTATTTTATTCCAAATAGACAACCTTCAATGAAACTCATTTTCTTTAATTCGTGTACCATTTATCCTTCATGGCACTTACTTATCGCTCGTTATAAATAGTATAAATACGTTAACCCCAAGATAATCTCATCCCTGAGTCTACGTCGATTCACTGAAGACGAAACGTTTACGTACGAAACGCGAGATGTAACATCCTTCCCCCTTTAGAAACATTCGTCCTCAAATGTTTAACTCCCCGGGATCTATATAACTTTGGCAGAGTCGACTTTGTAACAATACTACTACCAACTCTTCTTGTAGAACTCAATAATTCAACGCCACATAGGACCACAATCATCAATAACGACAATTGCCTCACACGACCAATGACAATAACTAACATAAGAATTCATACACGTACCTTAAGGTTGTGATGTCTCAGTCAGACCCTTCTTTGGAGGAGGAAATAAGTAGGGATATCTAGACTTCATGTCTTCCTCGGGCTCCCAGATCATATCTTCTACATTTTTGTTTCTGCAAAGCACTTTCACCGAAGCTACGTCTTTAGTTCTCAATCTCCGAACATGTCTGTCTAATATAGCAATGAGAGTTTCTTCATATGATAGCTGCTCTGTGACCTGAACGTTGCCAACTGCCAGGATTCTGGAAAGATCTCCGATACATTTATGGAGCATAGACACATGAAAGACTGGATGTAGAGACTCTAAGTCCGAAGGCAAGTCTAACTCATATGCTACTTGGCCTACCTTGCGTATGATCCTATATGGTCTAATGTACTGAGGGCTAAGTTTTCCTTTCTTACCGAACCTCATGACACCTTTCATCAGTGATACCTTTAGGAATACCCAGTCATTAATCTAAAACTCCAAGTCTCGCCGTCGATTATTTGCATAAAACATCTGACGGCTTTGAGCTGCTAATAGCCTTTCCTGTATAAGCTTAATTTTCTCAATTTCCTGTTGTACCAATTTTGGTCCTACTAACGTAGTTTCCCCAACATCGAACCACCCTATAGGTGACCCACACTTCCGTCCGTAAAGAGCTTCGTATGGAGGCATCTGAATACTAGAATAATAGCTATTATTATATGCGAACTCAATAAGCGGCAGATGATCATCCCAGCTACCCTTGAAGTCTATCACATAAGCCCGTAACATTTCTTTAAGTGTCTGAATAGTACGCTCAGCCTGTCCGTCTTTCTGGGGATGAAATGATATACTAAGACTTACTTGAGTCCCCAATCCTTTTTGGAAGGACCTCCAGAAGTTAGCTGTAAATTGAGCTCCTCTATACGAGATAATAGATATAGGGACACCATGTAGTCGTACTATCTATTTAATATAAAGCCTTGCATAATCCTCTGCGGAATATGTAGTCCTAGCGGCCAGAAAATGGGCTGATTTTGTAAGCCTATCAATAATCACCCATATAGAATCGAACTTACGCTGGGTATGAGGTAAGCCTACGATGAAATCCATATTGATTACTTCCCATTTCCAAGTTGGAATCTCCATAGCCTGCAATAATCCACCGGGTTTTTGATGCTCAATCTTGACCTGCTGACAGTTAGGGCACTGAGCAACAAACTCCGCTATATCCATTTTTATTCCGTCCCACCAATATACTTCCTTGATATCATGATACATCTTTGTCGCTCCTGGTTGGATAGAATAATGAGAATAGTGAGTTTCTCCCATAACCTGCCATCGCAGCCCTGCAACCTTAGGGACACATAATCGTCCTTGATACTTGAGGACCACATCTTCTGTAATTTCAAACGGTGTCTTTTTCTTTCTGAGGGGTGGTATCCCTATAATGAACTAACATAGGATCCTCGTACTGGCGTTCCTTTACTTCAGTTACTAAAGAGGATGTTGTCATATCCTGAATAGTAATTCCAATATCACCTGAGTCAAGTAACCGAACTCCAAGACTAGCTAGTTGATGAATCTCATGGGCTATTCCCCTCTTTTCTGGCTATAAATATGACAGGCTACCCATAGATCTATGGTTGAGGGCATCGGCTACTATGTTCGCCTTCCCCGGATGGTATAAAATATCAACGTCATAGTCTTTAAGTAGCTCCAACCATCTCCTTTGACGTAAATTCAATTCCTTTTGCCTGAAGATATACTGGAGGCTCTTATGATCCGTATAGATATCAACATGAATGCCAAACAAGTAGTGCCTCCATATCTTTAGTGCATGAATTACTGTGGCTAACTCTAAATCGTGGGTCGAGTACTTCTTCTCGTGCTTTCTTAGTTGTCTGGAAGCATAAGCTACAACCTTACCATGTTGCATCAGCACGCAACCCAATCCAATGCATGAAGCTCACAATAGATAACATAACCATCGATCCCTTCTGGGAGCATTAGAACCGGTGCAGAAGTCAATCTGTTCTTCAATGCCTGGAAACTCCGTTCGCAAGCATCGGTCCATTGAAACCTTGCTCCATTCTGAGTCAACTTTGTCAAAGGAGCTGAAAGGGAAGAAAATTCCGCTACAAATCTCCTATAATAACCTGCTAAACCGAGAAAGCTACGAACCTCCGTCGATGTCGTGGGTCTAGGCCAAGTCTTTACTTCCTCAATCTTTTGTGTATCAACTCGGATAACTTCACTCGAAATGATATGCCCAAGGAAAGCTACAGAGTTCAACCAGAATTCACATTTAGAGAATTTAGCATACAACTTCCCTTTTTGTAGAACTCTAAGCACAGTACGCAAATGATCCGCATGCTCAGCATCTGAACGAGAATACACCAATATATCGTCGATAAATACAATTACGAACAGATCTAAAAAGGGCCTGAACAGACGGTTCATCAAATCCATTAATACTATTGGGGAATTGGTCAAATCGAATGACATAACATGAAACGCAAAGTGCCCATATCTGGTCCTGAATGTTGTCTTCGGAATATCTTCCTCCTTAACCCTTACCTGATGGTACCCGGACCTCAAGTCTATCTTTGAAAAACACTTGGCACCTTGCAACTGATCAAATAAATCATCAATCCTCGGGAGTGGATACTTATTCTTGATTGTCACCTTATTCAACTGTCTATAATCAATACACATCCGTAAGGAACCATTTTTCTTCCTCACAAATAACACAGGTGCTCCCCACGGTAATGTACTAGGTCTGATAAAGCCTTTTTCAAGTAAGTCCTTTAGTTGTTCCTTTAACTCTTTCAGCTCTGCGGGGGCCATTCTATAGGGAGGAATAGATATTTGATGAGTATCTAGTAGTAGGTCAATAGCCAACTCAATTTCTCGCTTTGACGGAAGGCCCGGAAGCTCATCAAAAAAAACATCGGGAAATTCATTAACCACAGGGATGGAATGAATGGTTGGTGACTCTACTTCTGCATCCTGAAACCGAACTAAGTGATAAATACAGCCCTTTCTAATCATCTTCCTTGCCTTGAGATAGGAAATAAATCTACCTCTCGGCGATGCCATATTACCTTTCCACTCCAAAATGGGCTCCCCTGGAAATTGAAATCGGACTATCTTTGATCTACAATCAATGTTGGCATGACAAGAAGCCAACCAATCCATACCCATTATAACATCAAATTCTACCATATCTAACTCAATTAGGTCCGCTACGGTAGATCGACTATGAACCGCTATTATACAACCCCTATATACTCGCTTAGCTACCACTTAGTCCCCAATAGGTGTAGACACCTCAAAAGGTTTAACCAATTCAGGTTTTATTCCAAACTTACTAGCAACCAACGGAGTAACATATGATAAGGTGGAACCTGGTCAATCAGTGCATACACATCATATGAGAAAACTAATAATATACATGTAACAACATTAGGCGATGACTCCTGATCCTGTCATCTTGCCAATGCATAAATACGATTCTGAGGACCG